TTCTTTTTGAAAAAAATCTTTTTGACAGTGTCTCCTGAATTACTCAGATATTTTAAATCATTTCACTTATAGTGTTTTGATTGAAGTGTATTCAAAAACCAGAAGTCAAAATGTTTTGAAATTATGGAATCTCACAGTTTTACTCACTACAAATTTTGTTTACATCATAAAATCTAAAAAAGGAACAGGGATACATGAATAATAATGATAAGCAGCTGCATTACTGAAGGTGTTTACACAATTGTTTCGATCTGAACTTTGTTAGACTGATTTACTAAGTTTTCAGTTTCATAGAACATAATGGTACTGTAGCTTATACTCTGTGCTGTCATTCAGGAACATTAATAACTTGTTGATAAATTCTGTTCTATCTTAGAACTCAGTAAACTCTCTGAAACTCTGATTATCTTCATAATGTTCTTGCTTAATGTTTAATGATGATATATGGGTTTTCTTTGTTCTTAATAACAATTTGGTACCAACACACTGTTTTTAAGAGCACTCTTTCTTTGCAAACTAGCAAAGATCTAAATTATTTAAGTCCATTGATATATTTAATACATTTTAAGTTAACCCATGATTTATCATTTAGACAAGACAAATATACAGCCATGTGACAAAGTGCTATCTATTCCATAGCCAGATCATCTGTATAGCATAACGTTAGTAGCAGTTGAAGACTAAAATGAAAAGATCTTTTTGTCATGGCAGAAAACCCTAGTCAATGACATCCAAAATCTGAAAGGTGATAACAGCTTGTATGCTGAGCATTTACAGGTTCCATGGACTCTTGCAGAAGTGGCAGGTCCCCAATAAATTCCTATCATCTCTACAGGTTTCATCACCAGTGGGTTCTGTTTATCTTTCTCCTTACAATTATGAAAAAAGCAGGTAGAAGTATGATGAAGGATTTTTTCTGGTGGAAAACGTGTGTGTGTGAAACATGGGTTTATAATTTTAAAATGTATTGATAAATGGGACAGAAGCCTTGAAGTACAGTTTGTGAGGAAAAGAAAATAATTTTAGGCTAATTTTATTTATTTTCTTTTTTTTCCCAAATTAAATGTTTGAATGTCCATGTTCTTCTGAGTTACTAACACTCCTCAGCTAAACTCCAGTGTTTGTTATTAGGCTAAAAATGGGAACTAACATACAAATCTAGTACAAGCAGATACTTAGTAAAGATTTTAGCTCCTAGTTTCCTGGAGGTTAATGTGGACAATGAAATAAGATTAAACAAAAGGAGTTTCTTTAGTTTATGTAAAAAAATTTGAAAGAGTGACTCACATAACAGAGTTCAAATACATGAAAGGCTGCTGCAGAGGGGAAAGGAATAATCGTTTCCCCTCACCTGTAGCAGGAAAAATGGGAAGTTAGAGGCTTAAATTATAATAAGGGAAATTCAACACTGAGGCAAACTTCACAAGCAATAGGGTAGTAAAGCACTGTAATAGAGAGGGAAGTGGTGGAGCCCATTGTCTTTCAGCTGTGTTTTTCTGTGGTTACCATGAGAGGTTACCATAGCTATCATTTTGCTGCAGGACAAGAAAGTTCTGCTCAAAAACTTCACTTGAAGTAGCAGTATTTTATCTTCCTAAACTGTTTAAATGAATGGGACATATTGCTGATTCTGTAGTCTGTGCAAAGGGTCTCTGTTGGCATCCCAGCCAGTATATGTTAGATGGATCTACTTCACTATTTCCTTGTTCCAAAACAGATGACTTCCTCAGGATGATAGGTGGCATTGTTATTGCTGAAGTGCATTAAATGCAGAGACATTTAATTTCAGTAGAGGGGGAGGGGAAAATTCTTGTGGTCATTATTTCTTTTATAGGTTGCCTCAAAAACACAAGACACTGAGAAAACTTTTATTTGTTATTCTGCTGTGGCTGTCTCATTCTGTTTCTTTTCCTCTAGTGGGTGGTTTTACCCACCTGTATCTTTTGGACTTCATTTTAAAGTTAAGCTTCTACATAGTTCCCAGCATTTGGACTATATACAATAGAATCTGAGGAGTATATTTTAGGTGTCTGGCAGACTGAGCCATGGTTCTTCAAAACTTGTTAGTAGAAAAGTGAGGAACAGGATCCAGATTTATTTTCTCTTCTCTTGTTTCGTGATCTTTTCTCACAAGGACAAAACACTAGTAGCATTTAATGCTACTAAATCGTACTAGGTCTCAGGCATTCATCAGGCACTAGTCTTGGAGGTCAATCTGTCTGAATTAAATAAAAAAAAATAAACTTGCTTTCAGAGTGTCATCTGATTTTCTGGTATGTTGGCTCTGTCTTGTAGTTGCCATTTTGAAGGCTGAAGGAAGGCCCAGGTGGTCTATTTCCTTTGCTCAGTGTTAGGGAGTGACTATAAGGCATCTTGTATTTAGCTTGTATTTAAGTCTTGTTAGAAGGGAAAGGCTACGCTGTCCTCTCCTGGTGTTTCTGAGCCACCTCTTTTTTACTTTTCCTGTGTATGCAGTGGCACTCTGATAGATTCCAGTTTGTCCTCTCTACTCCCCTTCTCCCATGAGCAATACTCCCCAAGCCATTTTTCCTGTCTCTCTCTGTATATCTTTTCTAATTCAGATAACTGAAGGTTTTACTTCTGGAAAATTTCGTTACTTGTACTGCATACCTCTGTCACCTTCATTTATGCCATGGTTAGGATGGTTTTGAGTGTTGCTTGGTGGCCTCACAAGCCTACCAAGCAATTTTGTGTGACCTTAGTATCTGAAAGAGATCTTAATGAAAAGTCCTGCTCTGTGTCTGTGTACCAAATTCATGTTGAGAAGGTGATAAGAAGTTGGCATCATTTTAGACAACAGTGACATGCTGCTCAGAATTATTTTTCTTCCCTGACTGATCACTTGTTTTACTATCACTATCTTTGACGTCGTTTCCCTTGCTTTTTATGCAATGACTTGAGAGGATAAATCTCAAAATAACCCCATCCTTAACCATACTTACTGTAAATATTAATCCAAAGGGACTCTGCATGCTACGTTGAAATCAACCCATTCTGTGTCAAACTGATCTCTGACTCCCATAGTCTTGTTTCCATGTACTGCATTGCTCTTGCCAACCTTCTATCTCTAGGTGACCTTTCAGAGCTATCTTTAAATAACAGAAGGAAAAACAGACTTCCTTAGCAAAGTGACACATAAACAAAATTATTTGTATGATGACCCAAATCTAGCACAAACTTAGTGTCCACAAGTTCACCCTTGAAGGTGGGAAGTGCAAGGAGTTGGAGTATGTAAAGTTGGATGTAGATACTGATTGTAGCAATTCAGTTATACTGGAAATAAGAGCATCTTCCTAACATTAAACATAATTTTGTTCTTATTCTGAATGTCTCCTGTATATAGAGATAGTGTAAAGGCAAAAGAGGTTAGGGTGGGTCTTAATCCTGTCTGTACTGTGTCTCCCTGTTTTGTGGAGCTCACATTGTTCAGATTGTGTCTAAAGTGCACTATGGAAGGTAAACCTGCTTAAATTAGAAATATCTGAGTGCATAACCTGAAGATTTCCCCTACCTTTAGTGCTAATTTGATCTTTTATTTACACTGAGCCAATGTTCACCTATGATACATGTCCAGTGTCAGTAAAGTGAACCATAACAATTAATTGATCCACCTTGAGGTTCTTCACTGTGTCTGTAAAATGGGAGTGCACCATCAACACGGTTAACCTGCTACGGAACTGAATTGGGTAAATTCTGCAAGCTAAACTTAAGGCTGAAAATTGCAGCTACAGTTTGGTGTTAGGCTGTGTATAAACAGTGTGTATAAACATAAAAAACCTAGAAGTGTTGTACGAAGCAGACAGAGCCCAAAACACACTGTAAGGGGAGAGTGGGTGGATAGTATTCATTAATGTAATGATTCAGAATCCATGAATGGGAATGTGTTACGTTTGAAAGAGGTGACTGAACTAATTTTTTTTATTTGTTTATCTATTCATTCTTTTTTTTTTTTTTTTTTTTTTTTTTTAAAGAACAGATCAGATTTGTGAGGTCATAAGTACTTTGTTGCTGGGGAGGGTGAAGCTGCAGCAATACAATTTAACTGTGTCTTGTAGAGAGGCAGTATATGTACCTTTCATTCTAGTGAGTAATCCCAGTCTTTAGATGAGAAGCTAAGACATTTTTAAAGATGTATCAGTGCTCTCATTGCTTGAAAAGTCTTAGACTGTACTTTGTATAGGCTAGATTTTGAGAATGCTTCGAAACATTAAGATAAATGCAGCTACTTGTTTACGAACTATTACCTCAAGAGGACAGCATATATCAGAGGGTTTTTCCAGGTGTTCTTAAGATATTGACTTTAATCCATAAAGCTTTCAGTTATTTGGACCATACTTTCTCCCTCTCACTTCTACACAATTAAGAGCATAAACTGTTGGCACAAAATCCATCTCCATCTAAAAAGGAAGATCCTCTTATCAGGCAGTTTCCTGTAAGTGGGCACAGACTCTGCTGCTTCACTATCCCCTGGCCACCTGCTTTTCCTATAAGTACGTGATTTTGTGGATTTATTATTGTAGTTGGTGAATTTTATTATGTACCCTGTGGACAGTCAGTGTGGTATATATTGTAGATTTTGTATTTTGTCTGCTTTAAAAATTTTTTTGGAAGTGCCTAGAGCTAGGGTTAGGTGCTTAAGTTGTAACTTCAAATAAATAAATACATAAAATAAATAATTGAAGCAGGAAGTTTCAGATAATAAAGAGAGTTGGCTCCTGGGTAGAAAACACTCTAAGTCTTAAAACAGTAGAATCTTTAATAAATGAGATTAAATAATAGCCCCAAAGAATTTATTCTCTGGAAAAAAATCAAAACAAAACAAAACCAAAACCCAACCAACCAAAAAGACAAACACAAACTAATAGGATTTATGGTTGGTAAATTAGAAGTTTCATTATATATGGTACAAAATTAGTTACTAGGGAGCATTTTATTTACCTATAATTTCTATTTAATAGCCACTGCACTTGTCATTGCAGGTATGGTTACAAAAGTATGGCTACCTTCCACCAACTGACCCCCGAATGTCGGTGTTGCGCTCTGCAGAAACCATGCAATCAGCTATAGCTGCCATGCAGCAGTTCTATGGCATTAATATGACAGGAAAAGTGGACAGGAACACAATTGAGTAAGTAACCAGTACTGAACTGCTCTTGACTTTTCTGTTTCAAGCAGGGTAAAACAGAACTGGAAAAACTTTTTAACACATGAAGCAGGGTGACCGGGATATCCAAATAGTGTTGCAGCTTCAGATGAGGAGTTAAAATGCTTCTCTCCCTCTCTCTCCCTCTCTCTCTCCTTACCTTTTTTTTTTTTTTTTTTTTTTTTTTTAATTCCTCTTCTATATTTCATGGTGGCACATAGTCACCTGCCTAACTGCTGTCTGCCTTTGGGCATATGGTTGTAAAGAAAATGTTTCGGTGTTAACTGAAGAAACGACCAAAACGTTGTTAATGTGGAAATGGAGGAACCTATTAAAAATTAGAAAGAATTCATGAAATATTTCACAGAGGAAAGAGTCTTTTCTTACTGGAAAATCTTAAGTATCAATTTCCTTAGCCTCATTTCAAAAAATTTTAGCACACTCCACTGTCCCATTCATTTAATGGTTTCCAGTAACAAAAGACTAAGTGAGGTCATTTCAACATGCAGTAAAATTGGATTAGTTTTGCATGCCCTTTGCATTCTGAAGTTTTTTAAGGCAGGCAGCATCTGATTTTACTGACAGACTGAACACAGGCAAACTTTGTGAAACAGTGATTAAAAGAGACTTCCAAACAACTCTATGGTATGCCAAATTTAAAAAATGTGCCAAGAAAATGCAAAATAAATTAAAAAAGAGCATTAGTACACAGTTAAGAAAATGTATCTCGGACAAGTACTGGTTGGACTCATTCCAGTTAAAATGCAATGAAGATTATCTTGTGGTTTTAGAAAAAAGTTACTTTACTTGAAAAGCAAACAATAACAAAACAGTACAGTCACTACATATCCAACATTTACTTTATTTGAATATGTTTCTACTATTTCTCTAAAATGCTTTTTAGGGAGGAAAAAAAAAAATCCTCCTTTATTTCCCATCTACCCAGCCCCAACCCAATGTGTCACCTTTCATTATTCTTTTATGGTAAAGTAGCTAATATGAATGATTTTTCTGTCTTAGAGTTTAGGGAAGAGACTATCCAAAATGCTGTCAGGATTGGAGAAGTAGTTTTATTCCACTAGTACATGCATTATTACATTGAAAAGAAATAAAGCAAAGCAGATTTTAGGACTGCCCTATGGGGCGGTGAGTTGATCACACATCCCTCAGTTTAAGAATTTAAAGGGCCTTAGAACATGCAATGCAATAGCAGTATAGGCCTTGTGAGAGAGCCATGTTCCAAAGTATCTTTATAATCCAATCTGCAGGGTGGAGACACTAGGCTCTTTATACAGCTTCAGTGATTGATCCTTGAGGGGAGAGTGCTGCTATACCAGTCACTAGTAGCCTTTTAAAGACACATTAGTGGCAGCTTTGTAAGAGTCAATGTATTTCACTAAAAGAAAAACAATCTGTTTACAGTTAGCAGTACCAAGAGGATAGAAAGAGGTAATTTAAGGAAAAGCAGAGGCCATCTCATCAGCTCGTGAGTTGAAAAAAAAAAACCAAAAAACCAAAAAAACCTAAAAAACAAACCTTTAATTGCAAAGGGAAGTGGTTTATGTTTGCTAAATTGGACTTGTTAGACAGCATGTCAGCAAGGTTGTCTTCACTCCTTCTGCTGTGTAAGAGACAAAGAAATCCATCTATGCAGCAGATCAAAACATAATTTTGCAATCTGGTGGATATGAACTCTTTCAAACCTTTTGATGTATATTTCTTCTACACAGAAAGATACCATAGAATCATAGAATCATAGAATGGTTTGGATTGGAAGGGACCTTAAAGATCATCTTGTTCCAATCCCCATGCCACCAGCAGGGACCCCTTCCACTAGATCAGGTTGCTCAAAGCTTCATCCAGCCTGGCCTTAAACACTTCCAGGGAGGGGGCATCCACAACTTCCTTGGGCAACCTGTTCCAGTGTCTGACCACCCTCACAGTGAAAAACTTCTTCCTAATAATCTAATCTAAACCTGCCCTCTTTCAGTTTAAACCCATTTCCCCTTGTTTTGTCATTAGTTGCCCTTATGAAAAGTCCCTCCCCAGCTTTCTTGTAGGCCCCTTCAGGTACTGGAAGGCCGCTATAAGATCTCCCCGGAGCCTTCTCTTTTCCAGGCTGAACAGCCCCAACTCTTTCAGCCTGTCCTCATAGGAGAGGTGCTCCAGCCCTCGGATCATCCTGGTGGCCCTGGATATATTGAAGCATGTCAATTGTTAGGTACATAGAACTCATGCTGGATGAATTTTACATTTACTTACATATTTTCAGTTGCATTAATTTGAGTCAAGTTGGGAACAGAGCTGATTCTTAAAGATTTGTCACGTTTGTATTGGTGTTGAGAAAAAAAAAATAAACTTGTTAAACTAAACTGTGGCCTCAAGTTCCCATCAATTAACATCACTGAATATACTTGGGAGATGTGACTACATAACAAAGGATAAATATTTTTTTTAATTGTTCATTTATGGCAGTATTTTGTAAATGTTTGAAATCATTTTCCCTTTCATCTACACAGAAAGTATATATACTCTCTTGTGGCCAGAAATATGTGACAGTTTACCAGTTGTTTCTCTGTGATTAATATGTTATAATTACATACAATGCTGGGATTACAAAATATAGAGTACAGCAGGAACCTCATAAAAACAATTTAATTTGTTCTCTTCGTGTGCATGAGGATTTATCTACTTCTCTAGCATGTCTTGAGAAGACAATATGATGTGCCTTTTCATCTTCAGAAGGACAAACAATTAAAACAAGTTATAGTAGCAACTTGATAGGAACCAACTTTGGGAATATTAACAGAGAAATAATATCATGCAGCATCACCATCAAAAGTCTCCTGGGGGAAATTTTGTTGCTCTGGAAAAGAGATAACCCCTCAATGAGTATTTTGGTATGCACTAAAATGAACAGTGTTCATCTTCCCCCTACTACTCACCATTCACTTGTTTTTGCTATAGTTTTTGTTTCCGAAGTGGCTTGAAAAGCATGATGCATGCTTATTGCTGGAGATACGGAAGAGTGAGTGGTAGGAAGAAACATCATTATAATGGTGTAAAACTATGAGGGTCGTTCCGAATACAAGTATCATTACAATGTCAAACCAAATGAAAATAGTGTCTGACACTTGCATGGGGTGCCACAGTATTTCATGTGATTCATTTATATGTTACCAAACACAGTCAACTGTTCATTAAAAAGGAGACTTCTGAAAATGGACCCACTGTTGGTATCCTGGTCTTTTACATCCCTAAACCAAACATACGAAAATAGAAAAAGACTACTTGTTGTCTTTTCGTGAACCTGCTATACATTTTTATTTCCAAAACATAGTTTGCAGTTTAAAGGGGTACATTACAAACTTATTGGTGTACAGATAGAATGATTGTGTACAGAATGCTGACTAAGTCTATGCAGTAGTAACAAAGCAGTAATTTTATTTTAATGTTATCCTTTATAAGTAAATGACAAATGCACTTATTTTGAAGCTCAGATGAGCTTCTAAGTTTACTTTGAAGTTTAAGAATAAGATGTAATCATATTTATGTGTGACATCAGTTGTTTATATATTAATTATCAGTTAAAGAGTGAGAGTGAACAGTAAATTTTAGGCTGTTGAAATTGACTTAGTGGTCTATTTTATTAGTAAATGTTTTTGTACAAAAGCTATACATAAGGTCTTGTTCCCTCAGCAAAAATTCAATGAGAAACCTTGCAGACAAATGATCGTCGGTAGCAGGGTTGAAATACAGTATCTTACATAACTCTTTGACTGCTTCCTATTACTTAAAGGAAAATCAGTAAAGTCCTATAATAGCAGAGTACAGTAGGGAAGAGTAAAGAAGTTTAGAAAACATATCTATCTCTCCTCACAAGAAGTTTCAAGGTACCATTCAGTAGTTTCATTAAATAAATATCTATAGTTTTTCCAGCCTCTAAGTCAAGTTGGACTCTCCCTTTTTTGTTTTCTTTTTTTCCCTAGAACTCTGAAAAAAAAAAAACCCCAAACCCCAACAAAACAACATCAACACAAACTTTATACAGCCTAAACAGCAGTTTTGATTAGCGATAAAAGAAGGGTGGTGTTTAACTAAAAGTAGTTTTTTTAATGTTTTGATTCCTCATTAGACCAAAAACTTTTTCCTGAAGGCTTAAGAAAGTGAGGAGACAGAAAGAGATTCTTCCTCTTTATCCCCAAAGAGCAAGACATGGTTAGGCAACTGGCTTGAGTTACGAGAAGTTAGTTTCAGCTCTCTCTCCACTGGAAGAGCATTACAGTTTTGCTGCATATTTTTATTTTAATCTTTTAAGATTTTCTGTGAGTCTAAACTGTTTTATTTCTCTTGACATATATAGCTCCTCAAGATTCAAACTAATGGAGCTAAGATTGGAATTTGATGTGACCTAGTCTACAGATAGAGTACGTTAGTCACAATTAAGCCCCTTTATTGAGTACTGATAAAATATTAATTTTGAGGGCCTACTGCAAAAGAGGTTTCTACAAGTTCAGAAATAAACAGATGGGAGAGGCAAAGTCATTACCAGTATGCATCTTTTTTAAATGAAAAACACTTATTTAAAAAAAAAAATAATTAAACTCCAAGAAGCAATCAAGAACATGAAAGACCTTGATCATATTATGTTAAAAGCAGCTGTATTTGGAAGAAAATAAAAATGCATGTGTTATTTGTCAATTCCCCCTAGATGGCAGATCATATTACACACTCAGTATCCCCAAATGTCATAAGCTTTGATTAATATTACTGACAGAATTCTTCCTCCCAGTCAGTGTGACAACCATTACTGTTTAAAACAATATTTTTAACGTACTAAAAAAACCCAAAAATATTTATGTGCCAGACGTTTTTAACATTTGCCTCATTTCTGTGCTAGAAAAGATCAGACTCCAATACTAACCATGTAATAATTTGTTTATTATTCTGACTGCTAAAACGTAGCTCAGCTAAGATCTAGGTGATAGATTTGGTGATAGTCCAACTCTTCAGCTACAAATTGCATTTTTCCTTAAATTTTACATGAAAATAATTTCCTGAAAGCTAGTGAACCACTTGTGCAAAGGCTTCAATTTGATTTGCATTGGGATTTATATTGTGTGTGAACCAGTCTCAGTCCTCATGTAAGAACATCCGTGGGCAAGACAGCATGACAGCATGGAACATTCCCTGCCCATCCAAACCAATAAGGATACAAGCATAATGTTCTTCATAGGTACATACCACTTAAAAATCAATACAAGAATAAATTGCTTAAATTTCAGAACATGTTATTTTGGGCTATTTTTTGTTTTGCTAATAATGAATTGTCAGCAGTTCTAGTAAGATAATACAATGCTGAATTTTGAATACATTACCTACTGTTCTTGACTTTTTTAATTCAATATTAAGTGTAAAACATTTTATGCTAACATTATTTCCTGTAAGAGTTCTGAACCTTTGACATAACTTGAGTCCGTATTTCAAGAGCAGCTTTGAAGATTAATTTTTAAATTCACAACTTGGAATGTTTACACTTATCTGCCCTTGGCTTGCCAATGAGCAAACCTGGTTATCAAAATAGGTCTCCATCAGTTAAGATAAATAGTTTTCTATTTTTTGGGGGGAGAAGGCCTCATTCGATTGATTTAAAATCATTGACCTTGAAATAATACAATATAAATGATATATTTCATTTTTTATACAAGATCCTGACATTTTTGTATGGTATTTCTAGCAAAATATAGTAGTTATTTGTTTTTACTTTATTCTTTGCTCCTTTCTTTTGATGTAGTGATATCACCTTAAGGTGAGAAAACTGATCTTTTCTTACATATATGTCTTTTTTAGCAATGTGTGCTTGCAGTTTCAGTAGCGTAATTTAAATATAACCTGTCATTAAAATGCATGGTAACTGCATGCTGATGTAACGTGCACTGCAAAAAAAGTGTTATTGACATGTCTAAAAGTTTTATGAGGTCTGAGCCAGTTTTGTTGAAGTGATATGATATGATATGATATGATATGACAGCATTTTACGAAGAAGAGTAGAACTGTCCTTTGGTCTGTAAATAAGATCTGGTTTTTTTCCTTCATTTTCTTTTATTATTAGAGTGAATTAAACTTTTCAATAATATTTCATCACAGAAATCGCTAATGTTTACTTTGTTGAATTGACATTTCTTTTTAAAAAAAACAAAGGTACCTGAAGTAAAGTTGCAGGGTGTTTTAGCAAATGCTGGGTAGGGTAAGGTTTTATAGCTTTTGAAGTATTGTTTTTGCAGACACTAGAGAAAGAAGGTTGTCTTCCTTGCAAATACAAAGAATAGTCAACTGTTTTATGTGCCATGCATACTTTGTAATTATTCTGACCAGAAATTGGAGCAAATCATTCTGTGTTTCTTATTTGAAACAGTTTAACCATGAACTCAGTGTCTTCAATTCAGGCAAACTCATAACTTTTGGCTTCTCCACTTGTATTACTTGATAGATGTGTCGCCTGTCAAAGTTTTTGCAGGCACTGACCTGTAGTCTTTATCAGCACAAGTGGGGTGCAGTGCCCTCTTGCTACTAGCACTAAAATTTTGTATTTTCCCATGAACTGGTGAGTTTAACTCATACTTAGGCATTTGAATAATAGTTTGCTATATATCCATAGCTACAACATATATGAGGTATTATAAGTCTGTCTGTAGTTTTAAACCTCTTCACATGCATTTATGAAAATGGACGTGTCTAATTTTGACTGGATTAGACCATCTCTAAAAATTCATTCAGTATGCAATATGATTTGTCTTGTATTGGCAGGTGTAAAACTTAATGCACATCTCATTCCTTGAGTAAAGAACTGAAAAATCAGTGATTTCATTAGATGGTATATTTTTTTATATATACATACACACATACACACACACACACTAGTCCTTTGTACTGCAAGTATTCCCTGTTTTCTTTTGGACAAAACAAGATGATCTTCTTCCTTTTGCATATATTGAACTAATAATAACTACTGAAAAAGATGAAAGATGGTTGACTGGTTGGGTTTTTTTGATATTTTGTTACCTGCACATGTTTTAAAAGGAGTCTACTATCTGAGATGACATTTCAAATTACTTTTCTGTCATACACACATACATACATACAGCTGCTGTGTGTATATTTATTTATGAAACAATGTTTAAATGCCAATTTAATGGTCAGAAATTCATTCATGCAAGCCTGAATATAGGGTATTCTGCTTCTGCTAAATACCATCAGAAAACTTTAGCTTTTACATCAGTAATTATTTGGCATGATAGAAATAAAGTCCAATGAACTGGAAAAGTAACAGAGGAGATTTGTCTTTTACTTATGCAGTGATTGTCTTTAATCTTACTGTCTTCGTGATGGTAAATTGCTATGCAGCTATTCAGCTCATATAAAATAACTTTAACTGAGTTTTGTTCACTTTTACTCAAAATAAATAACCTCTTACACTACAAGTGAGAAAAAGTTCAATGATACTGCTATTGAACTCATACTTTTGATTTAGACATCATCCTAATTTTTACATATTTGGAATGCTGACAAATTTGAAGTTTTTGAAATATTGGAAAACACTGAAATATTGAAGGCCACTGTAAAAATTGAGCATTTCTGTGGCAAGCCTGGTGCTGCTGTGATGGTCGTTGTTGTTTGTGATTTAGACCTTTTCAGCTTGATTTTGTGCAGAGAATTAAATATTCTTAGGCAGAATTATTGATTTAAATATCTCCACTAGGACCTTAGAGTTGCAAAGCTATATTCTTCATTATGTGTAAAGAGAGAAAGACAGAAGAGCTTAATATTACCATAAATTTAGCAGTTTTATTATCTTGAATTAAAACAAAAAAAAAAAAAATCTGGCAGTTGACTGGACTCTTCAATTAAAAGCATTCAAGGCTTGTTTAAATATCATGATAATGAGACAAAAGAGAAAGATTACTGAGTAAAAAAATAGTTTAGGAACTAGTGGTTTGACTAAATCTTTGTGTATATACTGTAACTTCACCTTCAGCAAGCAGGCTAGTAATACAGATCATAATTACCTTGAATGAATCAGAATAAATTATAGATTGTGAAAGGCTTGTCCAGTTGTGAAGTCTTTGTTCGAGGCTGTAGCAAAAGAAAACTATGAAAAATAACAGCAAATAAATTTATTTCTGAATGTCATAGGAGGCAATGAAGTTCCACATAATATGCATCTGTTATCAGGTTAGCTGTTCCTTTTGGTAGCCATTGTTGCATGTAGACACAAAATTGATAATACCATAACTTCAAAAAAGTTTGATATTTTTATTAGGTAGGTGCAGTGGTTATGATTTTTCTTTCATGTCACTTTAACTATGTGGTGCTGTTTCTTGCAGCTGGATGAAGAAGCCTCGATGCGGCGTGCCTGACCAAACGAGAGGCAGCTCCAAATTTAACGTTCGTCGGAAACGCTATGCGTTAACGGGACAGAAATGGCAACACAAACATATCACTTACAGGTACCAAAAATATTCATATGTCTATATAAATGACAATAATAGTGCTGACTTTTAATTTAAAGAAAATATAAATTTCTGAAATATTTTTCAATATTTTGAGACGTTCATCATTAATATGTAATATAAAAAAGCTTATTTAGATACCTCTTGGATAAGTATGTATGTGCTACAAGAGCCAAATTATTTTCTTGGATTAAAATTGCTTGCGTTTAGTAACTGATAAATTCTCTGAAGCTTTCAGCATCAATTTAACACCCAATATGGGCTTAACCTTACCTTTCAACCCTCTTGGCAACTTCTTAGGGAACATTGCTCTGAAAGTAGAAGCACTGTAAAAAAGCTCAGATCTCTAATTTAAGTATGTAAAATATTATTGAAAGGAGTCAGTCTCTGCAAAATGTAGGTACTTATAGATCTATTCTAAGTACAAATTAATTTAGTTATAGTTTGGTGAGTCACTGACCCAGCCATTTTCTGCCTACATGATAACAGGCATAAGGGTATGTACAAGGGTGTACATCTATATAACTCTTGAGTCTGGCATGTAGTTTACACATGTTACACAGTGTGTTGCCCACTGTCAAAACTGATCTTTGCAGGGAAAGTTAGATGCAAAGTATATACTTGCTAGAGCTCTGTCAACCAAAGAAAGTGTATAATATAAAATCCTTGATTTGTCAGCAAACCAAGGATTCCAATACAGCTGTATTTGGTTTACATGGCAAGTTTTTGGTAGCAGGGTGGAGGTGGGGCATGGGAATAGGGGTGGCTTCTGTGAGAATGCCAAGATAGACCCGCCACTGTCCAAGGCCGAGCCAATCAGTAACGCCTCTGTGATAACATAATTAAAAAAAAAATGGGGGAAGAGAAAAAAAAAA